TCTTAGCTTTAAGAGTTCTGTGCATATTCTGAGAGCATATGTAATTTTCTGTGTGTGAAAATGTACCTCTGAATTTTTTCCCCCTGAGGAAACGATCTAGAGTTTCCATAAATTCTCAAAGGCGGTGATGAACAATGAGAGTCAGAAACATTCATGCTAATTGTGGGTTTCACACTGATGCAGGGGCACCGGGGCCCCTGGAGCTTCCTCTGAGCACCAGAAGGCCGAACCGCCACGTGTAAGCAAGCGGGAGATTCCTCTGGCCACCTTTCCCCGCAGGCCGGTCACAGCCATTCTGCACTGTTTCCTCTCTCCTGGCCCTTAGTGGCTGAGTTGGCCATGCGTGTCGCCTCAGCAGTCAAACTGAGGGGTATTTTTATCCTGCCAACAGGAGCTGCCATCCTGGGTGAGCTGTGACTTTGGCTCCAACTGGAGAGGAAGAAGCTAGCAGGGAGGGAACAAGTCCTGACGACACAGGAGCCTAAGCTCTTGCTACCTGCAGTCTGCCACCCATCTGTTACCTGCCCTCAGGGCACCCGTGGGGGCCCTTTCTTCTGTGTCGTGGACTTCAGTGGTGGGCCTAGGGTGGGAGAAGCCCAGGGCTGAGCAGGCCGGTTTTCCTGAGCTATCAGCCAAATTCACTGCTAAAGACAAAGCACCTGGAAAAGAGGGAGAATTGGGCCCAGCAGGCAGCTGGCTGGGTGTGGGTGGGCGAGGGGAGTCGGGGAGCAGGGAAGACATGGGTAGCCAGGGTGGCGGCCCTGGATGAACCCACTTACGGAAGGCAAGGAGAGGTGCAGGGGACAAACAGTGGGCAGCAGAGGGAGGATGTCTTCTTCTTTCCTCACATGTATATGTATTTTCACAAAACCAAGGAGTCACACTGGCTTGTGACCTGCTTTTTGCCACTTGGCGAAAGTGCTGGCACAGTCTCGTTCAGGCTGCTCTGATTCGATTTATTCCTCTAAGAGCAGAGATGGGAGTGACCATGTCCTGGCCGCCCTCTCAGCACTAAACAGTATCCTTTTTAACCTTTGCCATTTTAAAGGCAACATTATTTCAATTTGCATGGTTTGGGGGACTAGTGAGGTTGAGCGTTCACTTTCCTGTTGGTCATTCCAGTGAATTTCATCTTGTTTTTGTATCAGAAACATGTAAATCAGGCAGCTCTGTCATACCCACTTTCTGCTGCAAACCGGATGACGGAGGGATGGGTGGTGAGAAGGGGGTGCAGGAAGGGGAAGGGGTTGCCAACAGGCCATGTTTTTTCCTTGTCTTCTTTTTCTACACACCACAAAGATAATGCATGCTCATTGTAGGAAGAAATCGAGTACTTCATAAAGGCATACAAATACAGTGAAACCCTGTGTCAGCATTTTCCTCCCCGCACCCACAGACCTTATTCCCCAGGTGTAACCGTTCTGAGCCTCTTCCCGCTGCTTCTTATCTACCTGCAGGCCCTGCTGCAATGGTCACAAATTCAGCAGAGCGATCAGGGAAGGGGTTGGGGCTTCAAAAAGGAATAGGTTCTTCACAGAAAGCGCCCAGGGTGGTCAGTGAGAAGGGAGGCAGGAGAGACCACAACTGCTGTTTGTCTGCAATCAAACGGGCAGACAGAAGAATGGAGAGAGAGTTAAGATTACTCTGTTTGCCTTGATTTCAGTCCGTAGGAAAAATGGCAGGCTGCTTACTGCAGCACCTGAGCAGTGTCCTTTGTTAACTTCTGTCCCTCGAGTGTAACCCTTTTCCTTCACAGAGCGGAGTGGAAAGCCTGAGAAAAGGCTGCCGTGGCAGCGCGAACCCGCCTCCCCATTGGCAGGTCTGCGTGGAGCCCTGCAGCCGACTCCATCCAGACAGCGGTCTGAAATAACATCCACGGCCTGCGGGCCCGGGCCCTGTTCTGGCCAAGGGAATGCCATCAGAGTCACGCTTAAAACTGATGCCAAGACTTGAGTAGAATCTGTCGTGTGAAAGGGAACCCATTCCTTGTTATCAGAAAATCTTCCAGAGGAAAAATGACCTAATTGTTCAAATTCTCAGTGTTACGAAAATGGCTGTTTAGAATGAGAGGGGCCATCACCAGACTGACCAGGAACCTTTGGAAAATTTATTTTTTATTTCCTCTTTGAGAGATGCAGATGCCTATGGAATGGGCTAGGCCAAATTAGGACCAGTGGGTCACCAGCCTCCTGTTTACTAAAGTAAAAAAACAGACATTCAAGGTGAAACTGTGTATATATTTTTTGAGATTCTGCTTTCTCTTCTTTCCCCGCTGTAAAAACAGACCACCCATCCCACCCCTCCTTGCATCACTTTCCACAGGCAACCCTTTGCTGCAAGGGCCTAATTCCCACCCGCCCCTCGGCTCTGTTCCTGTGTCCCAGGTAAAGTGGCTTCACGCCAGGCAACTTTTAGGCACATACAGCAGACCAAATATCATGTGAATTGTTCAAATGACAAGATTTTGTGTGAGAAAAGTCTGTCATGGACTGAGTCCAAAAAAGCTTCTTTCAAGAGGTGTCCATTCTAAAAAAGACAAGCCTTATTTAATGGGCCAGAATGACATAACAGGACTCCAGGTGGTGATGTCGGGGAAGGGGAGCGGAGAGCCCGGCTGGACTGTATTAGTCCTCTAAGGCTAGGTAACAAAGCACCCCCAAACTTAGCACCTTAACACAACAAACTGATTATCTCACAGCTTCCGAGGGTCAGGCACCCAGGAGTGGCTTAGCTGGGTCTTGCTTGAGGGCTCTTATGAGGCTGCAGTTTTCTCAAGGCTCAACTGGGCTGGACGACCTGCTTCCAAGCTCACTCACACAGTTCCTGGCAAGGGCCTCAGTCCCTTGCTAGCTGGTGGCCAGAGGACCCCACTGCCTTTCCATATGGGTCTCTCCATAGACTTCCTGAGTATCCTCATTACACAGCTTCCCCCATAGCAAGCGATCCGAGAAAGTGCGCGCCCCGAGACAGAAGCCTGTCTTTTTATAATGTAATCTCAGGAGTGCCAGCCTATCACATTTGTGGTATTCTATTCATAAGCAAATCCAGCCCACACTTAAGGGGAGAACAATTCATCTCTCCCTCTTGAAGGGAGGCGTATCAGAGAACTTGTGAACATATTTCACAGACAACCACATGTACAAGTAACCTACATCTAGTTTGCTCCTTGGTCTACGGAAGTCAGCACACTTGTACTAGAAAGAACCAGACAGTAAATATTTTAGGCATCACGGGCCAGACTGTCTGTGTTGCAACTACTTAACTCCGCCATTGCGCTGCAAAGCAGCCACGGGCCACTCAGGTGGTCCTTGAACAATGCGGGGCTTGGGGGTGCAGACGCTTAATACAGCCAAATATCCACATATAACTTTTGACTACTCCCAAACTTTACTATTTAACTACGTAAGCAAATGAGTGTGGCTTTGTTCCGGCCAAATTTTTATTTACCAAAGTAGGCATGGGGTGGATTTGGCCCCTTCAGCCACCTGGCATGGCTGGCTGATCTGACGCCACCGTGCCTCTGCAGCCTGAAACGGGGTGGCGAGATAATAGGAAGAAAGGAAGGATCATCTGAGAGATTTAGGTGGAGAACATGTCAGGACTTGGGATTCCGGTCTGTCTTATGGGAAATGGGAATAGGCGTGTAGAAAGGGAGAGCTGATTTGGAACAACAGGGCACACGACAGTGTCTTCGCTCCATTCAGTCGCTGAAGCTGAGATGAGGCAACAAGTCCGAGATGCTCTTTGGACAAGTGGAACTGTGGGGCTAGGTCATAGCATTCCGATTTTGACTCAAGATGTGAACGAGGGGACCCGTCTTCACAAAGATCCTGCAGCTCCCAAGAGTCAAGTTCACCAGGGAGCGAGTGTCCAGATGAGAAAAGACTTGTGCGTCACAGATGGGGGACAAGGTGGAAGCAGCTTGGAGAGAGCCATGGGGGACACGTGGGGCAAACGGAACTTCAGACCTAGACGTGGCCTCACGCTGTGGGGTGGGGCGTGGGGATGGCACTTCTCCTGCAATATTCATAAATAAACTTTAAGACGCTACTTCTAGTTAGCGTAAGTTTAAACATATGTAAGGTCTTAGGCGTAATTGCCCCCTCCTGGTTTCTTAAGACTTGATTTGGCAAATGCTAACATACTGACTTCTTAGGGTTATTCATATTAAGCTTATTTTATGATTAAGCCAAGCAGAGATGGGGCTGGGAATTCTACTTTTCCTTCAAATTCACTTGTGATGGAATTTGTAAGCTGTGTAAGGTACATAATTTCCTGCCTAAATTATGTATCATTCTCAAGAAGATAGCTGACAAACTTCACCATTAAAATTTTACTTTTTTCAGCCAATACCTCAGATACTAGTCATTTTTAATTTCAAGGGTGAAATCTTCTCTCTTTGATGAGATGTAATTCGGAAATGCACACTCTGCTGGTAAATTATTTCTCAAAGTGATCTGTTTTTGCTTTTGGGACACTGCATGGTCTATCATGACCCCATTTGGAGAGCTGGGCGTAGCATCAACACCCCATTGTTCTCTAAAGCTTTTCTCCCTCTCATCCCAAAACTAAACATAAGTAAAAGAGTAAAAAATAAATTGTTCTTTTTTTGCTATAGCTTTCATTGCAAAAAATACGCAACTTTCTTGGAGCTGATTTCAGCAAACTTGAAAAAATGTTTCCACAAATAGTTCTTCGGTATAAAATAATGACGTGGAAACAGTATTTTCTCTATTTAAGGTGCTCATGGCTGGGAGCATTACAAACACTTGGAACTTTAGACATCTAGCTTCTCACCCCGTGATGGAAAGTGTGTCAGGAGGAAACCAGGCTGTGGAAACCCGATCCAGTGAGAGTCCCCACAGCCCAGGACGCAGGGCTGGCCCTCGCCCAGTGCCGCCCCTCGCCCAGCGCCGCCTACTGCCGCTCCCTGAGCTGAATTCCTCTGTCAGGTAAGGTGCTCACCACCCAGTCTTTCCACAAACATCTGTGAACTGCTCCACTTTTACTAATAACTTTATTTAAATAAGACACAAGAACTTCTATACTGAAAAATACAAAACAAAAGCCACACACTTCCTTGTGTAAAGCCATATTGGTGGTAACTCGAATACTGTTCAGCGCAGTGGCTAAATTAAACAGTACAACTATATACAAAATTTAAACAATTTCTGACAAATTTCTACAGCTGGATGTAGGATACATTTGAGCTCAACAACTTCTGGGAAATTTACATGGCAAAGCATAAGCTTTAACACATTTGGTTCAGAACTTTAATATATGCTAAGAACAAATGTACAACACAATCAATATTCAGTTTCTCGTGAGAAAATAAAAGCACATATCACTATAAATATCGTACATCAGATTTCATCACCAAAAAAGCATCATCAGTCCATCTTTCAGAAATTGATATTGATACTATTGCATCTTATTTGGACAAAAGCAGAGCATAAGATCAACACATTATGTAATGCTAAACCAGAGAGCAGAAGTTAATGGAGCTCATATTTATCTTACAGAGCTAATAATTTTCTCCCTTTAACCATAATCTACAAAATATAGTATTTTCATCAAGGCCTGAGATTATTAGGGTTAAAGGTGTCTGCTGCTGAAGAGATTGTTTTGAAAGGTTCCCCTGTGAAAATGGCAAAAGTAAACTGAGTCCTTCCCCATGGCAGTCTCCTACAACGTAACACTGACTAACTCAAAGGGGCTGGGGTTTACCTTCGGGAGAAACATTACTGCGAACTTTGGTGGAAAGAAGATAATTGGGATCATGACAAAAGAACACATAGAATACATACACACACACACACACGAACATGTACATATATATGCCATTTCTTAAAAAAAATCAATGGTGTTGCTTTCATCTTCATCATTTTTTCCTTCTTCAACCTCTTTAGAAAATAAAATCCCAGGAATGACTGAAGGGAACTGAAACGTTCCTATAGCCGTACGCACCTTGTTCCCTTAACTTTTAAGAAAACTGTGCCATACACTTTAGGTGCAGGTGGAAACGACTCTATGTTTCATTGTACTGAAAGCAATGGGATAAAAATACAAAAATGCCCGTTTGCTTCTGCATGCTCTTCATGCAGCAGTCTGGGAGTCAGGCCATCCACTGACCGATCAGGAGGACCTAGGGCTCTCCTCACACCTGGATGAGAAGCCAGGTCAGCTCTGAAAAGTCAAGGCTAACTTACTTGGGTTTTGCTGTACTTTGTACAACCGAAATGTTAACAGGGCTATGCATGATATTATAAGAGGCTTAAATGAGACAGCTTCAAACTACTGCGTTTGGAAGTCACCAAATAACCTGCTTATGCTGCATTAATTCTGAGACCTACACATTCCTTCTCTACATGAATGTAACTCGTGCACCTAACCTGCTTGAGGAAAACAATAACCAAAAGTGTGTTATTTTTAAACCTGCAAACTAAAGAATTACCAAAAGGGAAATCAACAGTAATATGCCTTTGGACACAACAGTAGCATTTCATGACCTTGATGGCCAACATTAAAAAAATCTCAACCATCCCCTGTGAAACTTCATTCGCTCTGTACTTAAACCCAGACACTCTTGTCTTTAAATTCCATCACACGCAATGTGGAATGTCTGTGTGCAGCCTAGTCCTGGACACTTCATATATGACATTGAGCAGTTATTAACTGAGCAACACCTGAACTTGTAAAAAAGAGAAAAAGCCACATTTACACATGTTGAGACAGTGAATGCAACAGTTGTTTTACTTGTAACCACATGACAAAAGTGAAGTCAGACACCACAAGATTTGCTGGTTCTTCTCATGTTCACCCATGTCCAGGATTATCGTTCTCCTAGGGTTGAATGCACTTCTTATTCTAAGAATGTGGAATGTAATGAGGAAAGGGAAATGCATAAAGGAAGGAAAGGCAAAGAGTGATGTTCCCTCTTTAGCTTTTTAGCTGTGAAATAGTTAATATCCCAATATGATATACATTCCAAGTTACCTGAGTTTAGACTTCAACTGAAGTACCTGAAGCTAGGCCATAGGGTGGGCACTGTGCAACTGTTGTGGCCATGTCTTTTGTTTTATTTTTTGCATTGTATGTATTACAGAAGTTAGAAACACACACCTGGATCAATTGTAAACATAATCCTGAAGTACAGTATTTTCCATAGGACAAAACACAGCAAGACATTTTCTACTGAGACAGGCAACTTTTTGATATAGAGCTTATTTATACTGAAGAATTTGGAACAAAACACAGGACACAGTACTAATCTGTCAAACATACTATGAAATGCATAGTCTCCACTTAAATGCTCAATGATACACACGTTTTGCAAGCATTACTGCTTTCCACAAAAACTGCTGAATAGGAGTTCCGTCCCTGCCAAGATCAGTGTTAAGAGATACTTTATGTTGCTGAGAAGTATTTTGTCTGTGGTGATGTTCTGAAAGTTTTGTCACTCCATGCAGATAGATGTCTGAGATCTAGCTCCTAATCCACGGAATGGCGGGTCGAGGCCAGCTCCCCTTCGCTTTAGAGGATCACGTAGTTCTGTGCAGAGATGTGCTCCTCGCCCTGCAGCTCCTGCAGGAGCTGCGGGGGCTGCTGGGATGGCTGCTGGACAGAGGCCTCCAGGGAGCCCGCCGTGCTGGTGTCTTCAGAGAGGGATGTGAAGGAGACCCGGGAGGAGAGCTGCTCCACGGCCAGGGTCGCCAGGGCCGCGCTCTGGCCAGAGTTGGGGGAGTTCTTGAGCATCAGGTCGGAGGCAGGTAAGAGAGGGCCTAGGAGTTTTACAGGACAGAAAGCTGATCCGGTGGGGATGAAATTAACCTTGTTTTTGTCAGGACATGAAAAGAGAGGGGCTGAGACAGGCTGACGAGACCTGAAACCACAAAACAAAATGAGGTTTACAATCTCGAAAGAGTTAAGCACTTTCTGAATTAATTCGAGTTCTCTAACACAGCTCAAGTGTGAATGGCAGGGATGAGTTAAGTGTACACAGAGGGGTAAACATCTTCCATAGCACAAGTCAGCTGGCAGACTACCGATGCACACAGCACTGCAGTGAGATTTGAGACCAAAGCATTTCCGAAAGGACCGGGCAGACACAGAGATCACTGGTCTGCTCTCAAGCATTTAGGACCATGGAAACACATCTTACATTACAGCTGAAGACTAGGCAAAGCTAGGATGAACCTTTTCTGTTAAGAACAAGTATACTGGGGAGAGGGATTACCCCATGATATATTTGATTTTAAGCATTTCCTCCTTTTTAAAAATTTAAGTGTTTTTTTATATTTTATTTATATTTTTTTAGAGAGTGGGGGAGGGAGGGAGAAAGAGAGAGAAACATCCGTGTGTGGCTGCCTCTCATGCACCCCTGAAACTGGGGATCTGGCCCACAACCCAGGCATGTGCCCTGACTGGACTCCAACTGAGGACCCTTTGGTTCGCAGGCCGGCACTCAGTCCCCTGAGCCACACCAGCCAGGGCCATTTTCCTCCTTTTTCTGCATCTCTATACATACTTCTAGAACACAGATCAGAAAAAAAAAGTTTCAGTAGTTTCTCAAAGAGCCAGTGAGCCCAGCAGAGCAGGGTCCATGAGCCTTCCCCTCTGCCCAGGCCCAGGCACTAAGCCACCCTCGCCCACAGCCGGGTCTCTGCCCCCTCGTACGTGCAAGAGCACAGCTGCCTCCGCCAGGCACCTGCGCTGGGGGCAAAGGGACGAGTGAGCCCAAGAGCCACAGGGTTTCTGCCAAGTCTTTACAGTATGAACCTCTATTCCTTTAATTTCTAATGTATACATATTAAAATTTCAAAAAGAAAAAATCTGTAAATAGGAAGTCTAAACTCAGTGACTACAGGTGCTAGCGGTGCTCACAGGGAAGGAGGCGGGTCTCCGCCGTCAGCAGGCTGGCCACGTGTGGGCATCGACTCTGCCGCCCCACGCCTCTGTGTCGGCCACCTCAGCCCACACGGCCTTGGGCGGGAAAACCCGCAGCGACTGAATACAGGTCTTTTATTTCCAAGCTTCTTTTGTATTAGCTTACGTATTTGCAACATACAGGCTCCAATTCTACTTTAATAAGATCTCTTTTGCCTATTCAGTTCTCTTTCCATTATTTTGAAACACATTATCAGCTGGATGGAGTAGTTGATTCATCTGTAATCAACTGGTCTCAGTAAAAAGCTTCACAGCTTTGCAGATCCCAGCTGATAGAAAAGACATTACTTACGCCATTTCCTCAAAGACCTTCACTCGCTCACATCCCTCTGGGGGCTCCCGTTTGAACATGTAGCTGTTGTTTGGTTTGGGAGATGAAGCATACTTGGGTAACGGTGAGCTACTCCCACTGTCTGTAAATTTAAAGCAGTTACATTAACTAGTGATTGAAAGCTCTTTTAAATTAAATTTGATTTCCAAACAAGCAGCCTTTTGCACAATTTATCCACTATTGCCCCTGTGCTTCCACCACAGAGCTTCCTTTATTGCAAAGCTATTTCTACCACCCTTGTGTAGTACATTTCTTATAAATAAAAGCTCCAAAGCAACAGCAATCTGCCACACCACAGAACATAAAAGGATGATATTTTGGTCTAGAAAACTGCATTTATTCAGAGAATATAGTAGAGCCGTAGTCCTGAAAACAAATACATTATTATGTATTTCAAAATGTAAATGAGTGGCGTAATATGTGTAAGTCATACAAAAGAACTGCGAGAGATTATAATACAGGGTCCTCTGTTTTCTCGGTGTCCAACCAGTGTAACTGAAAATTTTAGTACTCGGAATAATCTTCCCTAGCTCTTAGCAGGAACATTACTTTCACTCAACATCAAGAATATTATGTATGCAGGGAAAAAATAGGTTTATAATACAATGTCTTTTTCCCTCAGCCCACCATGAGAAAGTAACTGGCTCAGGATTTTGCCTTTGAAAATGTATAAAAGTACCTGTTAGCATAATTTGTATTTTTGCTATTGGAGGCATGAGAAATCTAAAAGCATCTCTGTCTAACATGTTTTCTTCATATTTCTAACCAAAAAGAAAATGGTCTATTCATGAAAAGCCATAAAACCTATATGTAATTTCTCCCTTTCCTACCTGGCAAAGGATTTTGGAAATTCAAATTCACCAAACTGTGTCATTATCTCTGTGAGATGCCAAGCTGTAAAGTCAGTAACATGCTTGTATAAATACAATCGTCCTATTTAAACAAGGTCTGACTTAATGCAAACCAATCCCCACTACTAAAATACTAATAAGCACATGATCTACTGAGATGTATTATTTTCATACATATTTTGAAAGACAGCATTTGCACCATAAATAATTGCATTTGTCACAATTTTGAGGCACTGCTTTAGTTTAGGATACAGAACACAGTCTAACCTTCAGAATTGGAGTGATAGGTGTTTTAATCATCACTAATGAAGTACAGCACATGCCTAGACATAGACCCTTCGGGCACACTTGTAGTGTGTTTGGTGAGTGATTCAAAGAGCTTCTGTGTTAGCCCTGGGAACCAAGATGTGTGCTTACACATGAATACGGCTGTATCTCTGGCTGGGAACTCATGGCCTGAAAAATAACAAGGCCACACTATTGAGAAACCTAGAAAACCACATCGTTTCTCCATCACTACTGTTGTGCATGTCCCTATAGATTCTGTGTTGTCTCTTGGAAATAAGTCTTTCTTCACATGCCATGCAGGTCGGAGGATTACTTTAGATTCAACACTTGTGCTATATTGCTTAAACAAATCTCCCAGGAAGGGAGAAGGGGAAATGTGACTTTCTCTCTTAGGCAGATGCAAAGCGTCATGAACCCAACTAGAGTCCGAGTTTGCTGCTCTCTATTGGAGCTAGGCTAGACTGAAAAGACGGGTCCACAATAAAAAACTGGTAAGAAGGAGGCCTTGAACTCAGTGCAATACCAAAAATACGGCTTGACCTCGCTTTGCTCTCCAAACAGCAACAAGCCATGCAGAGGAAATCCGTCAGTAGACAGGGCCCCTGGAGCCTACACGGAGGTTGCTGCTGGTAACAAACAGCACAGCCCTCCTGGCGTGCGGAAGCGGCCTGAAACCACGGGCTCCAGGCCTCTGCCGAGCATTCCCGCCGTCAGCAGCCAAAGATTCACCGTGTTATGATGTAAGAAGGATCATCTTGGCCACAGTTATAATCTTCTGTGTTATATTTCTTACTGCATCATTAGGCCTACCCACATGATTTCTCTCAGAACTTTATCTATAACTTCAGGGGACTATCCCAGAATTGAAAGTTAGGTATGAGTTGAATAATATATGAAACTGATTATCTTCCCATTAACAATCTACAATGAATTAAATGGTTTTTCTTCTTGAAACTTTTCCAACTTCCAATTTCTAAAAATTTTTGAAAATACACAGAGGCACACATTTACTTGTTTACATTTAATGTTTGGTGGTCTGGAAAAACAAAGCCGGAAAGAACAAAATTTGGAAGCACAAGCCAACGTGTTCAACCTGAAGTGTGTTTCTCAGGGGAGCGAGCAGCCAGACGAGCGCACAGGGGAGAGAGGAGAGGAGGCGCTGCGCCGAGGGCGGAGCTCCGTCACTAGCTGTGCAGCGGTGTGACTTTGTACACGGCGGCCTCTTTGAGCTTCTACATGACTGTAAGAGCTGCCACTCCTAACTCCAAAATTCTGTGATTTTTTTGATGGTTCTAACATACAAAGAAAAAACACTGTACCAACTTTTTTTTACTCCACAGAATGGCATGCTTCAAAATAACCCACACGAACCACCTATCCTACCTACCCGTTGCAGACTTTGATTTCTAACGCACTCATTTAGAACTCTTGGTTGAATTTAATAACCACATTTCAGAAAGAATTATAAATAAATATGAGGTGAGCTTGCCTGCTCAGAAGATTGAAGATGAAAAGTCTCATGTAATCTTAATTTAATCCCTTTTGTTCACAAGCATGACACACTTTCTCGTTATTCTGTTACTCCACAGTAGGAAACCACTAGATATGTAGGTGAGATTAAGTTAAATGTTACTCTATGTTCTTATAACATTATAGCCAATGACAATAAGACTAAATGCAATGACTATGATTATTTACATAGTTGTCTGGATTCATAACATTCTCACCTATATTTGTGACAGGATAACCCAACTCTGAAAAACCAAGAGTGGACAAACATTTTATTGGTTATTTTACTATAATAGATCATATTTATGAATGTGTACCACATTTACCGAATAAAATACAAGAAACTTGTCCAATACTTTGACCAATGTCCACACCTCACCCCTAAGAGACTCTGACTTCAGTCTGCAGCTGCTCCCAGTCGTGTGCTCCTTTCTGGGGGAGAAGCTCACACGTGTTTCTGAAGTGCAGTCAGATTTGAAAACTAATCATGAAAATCATAAACACTGATTTGGAGTTAGGCTACCTGACTTCTACTTTTACCTAGGCCTAAATGGAAATAACTACTGATATCAATTATGAAAAATGTGTGTAAAAGGATTAGGATAGTGCCTGAAGGACAGTAAGGTCTCAATAAATATTGCTACAACAGTAGATGCATAATTTTTAATTTGAAAATTTAAAAAGGTGAACCATTCAGATATTGTCTTTTCCATTGCTTGTTGGCAAAAAATAACAGAAGCGTCATTTTTAATAGGTCTGCACACTCTAACTTTATTCAGGTATGCAGAGACAAGATTTTTGTGTCTGGTGGGAAAGCACAGTAATATCTGGGGTACCGGATCTCCAGCATGTCCGCCCAGCGTGAACTATTCCAGTTCACAATGGCACCCTTTGGCATATATATAGAGACCCATCATGCTGAAATGAAAATCAATGCCCTAAGCATGCAGACTCTACCGATTCCCCTACAAAGAAAACAGGTTTACAATAAGTGCACCAATAATCAGTAGAATGCAATTCTTATTCTACCTTTACCAGCTAGAATAACAGGCTGGGAAAGTGAGCACAGAGTTAACCAGCACTAATCTCAATGACACATGAAAAGCATAATTAAAAGTTAGCCAACAGAGTTAGTGTAGAAATATGGTTGACTAAATAGAATCTAAACAGAATTACTACTCTACCTAGTAAAATTACTTCTTCTGCTTCAGGAAATGAAATGATCAGCTGCAGTGAGTTTTGATGGCCTAATGAAATCCAGGGACACAACCGTACACATTCCCTGGCAACAAACTTTTGGAACCAGCTGACATTACCAGTCTTTTGAAAAGCCTACATTTAAAAACATTTTAAATGTTTACTGAGTTGAGACAGAAAGGAGGGAGGGAGGGAGAAAGAGACATCTATGCGAGAGAGAAGCACTGAATGGGTACCTCCCACGTGCAGACCAGGCACTGTAGTCACCAGGACGGAGGAGCAAAACTGCAACCCAGGTATGTGCCCTGACTGGGAATGGAACCCGTGATGCTTCGGTTACAGGACGGCACTCTAACCACTGAGCCACACTGGCTGGGGCTGAACCCCAAAACTTTTGGTGCATGGGATGAACTTCAACCAATTGAGCCACATTGGCCAGGTCCAAAAGTAACTCCAAGACTAAATTGTGAACAGGTAAGGACAACATTTGCCTTTTACAAGTAGTCTCTAAGGTTTCTATAAAATTTCAAAGTCAACCCTTTATAAAGTTACAGAATTTTAATAAAATAAGACATCAGCTATAGTTAAGATCTTCATTAAACCAGTGTTCAGGTAAGAAGGAAAAAATAACATCATAACCTGTTGGGAACCTCCCTGCCTGATTTCAGAAGTTATAACCCCCAAGGCTAAGGCTAAGTAAAAGACCTTAGGACCATAAGCCACTAAGGAGACAAAGCTTATTTTCCTTGTAGGGAAATAAGCCTCTGCCCCCTTTCACCTCACCCTGCTTGGCTCCAAGCTGATGACCAGTTAGCCAATGATGGGTAAGATTCCTCAAGGGAGGGACGACCTAAGACAGGCACAGTCATGGAGGAGCCCTCAGGGAAGGACTTGGGGGCTATAGAAAAAGGGGGTGATGGACCCTCACCCCTCGGCTTTGACATAGCCTGAGTCCTCCTCATTCTGTCCTCAAGAAGTCTTCTAATCTCTTGGCTGACTTACTTCCCCTGCCTGACATAAGCCTGAAATAATTCTGGAGGGTGGTGCAGCCCTGGGCAGGAATGGGTGGTTCCTTGGGGCAATCAGGCCTAAAAAGAATGCATAAAATCCTGTGAAACCTGCTTTGCTAAGAATGTCCTCAGTTTTCTGATAAGGGTCCAAGCATAAAATGAGTTTGTTTCCTAAAGTTTTATGGCTCTTTAGCTATCTGACCCTGACTCAGAATAAGCCCTCATAG